ATTCTCTGTCCAATCCTTTCTACTTATGACATTCTAGATTAGGGCATTTGTTTGCTAACCGCTTACGGTCTTTGGCTCAATCAGGTATATTAGGTAAAGTTTCTCCTAGTGAACTTATTGAATGTCGGGGGTGTAAACTTACCAAAATGACAGTCTTACCTTTTCGCAAAAGTATTTCTATATCTGATACACCGTTTTCTTTAGTTCATACTAATGTTTGGGGCCCTTCTCCTGTTCTCACCAAAGGGGGTTCTGCATACTATGTGTCATTTGTTGACGACTGTACTCGTTATACTTGGGTTTATCTTATGAATCATAAGTTTGACTTCTACTAGATATAGCGTACTTTCCAGTCTATGGTCACTACACAATTTGGGTCTACTATTAAATTGTTACGGTCTGACTTGGGTGGGGAATACTTTAAAACTAAATTCTGTGAATATTTAGCCAAATTGGGTACCATCCACCAAACTTCTTGTACTGATACACTTGCCTAAAATGGTCGAGCTGAGCGTAAACACCGTCATCTCCTTGAGATAGCTAGGTCTCTCTTTCTCTCTGCCTCCGTTCTGGCTCCATTTTGGGGTAAGGCAGTTCTTACTGCCGCTTTTCTTCTCAACCGTATGCCTACTCCCTTCTTTCTGGTCAGTCTCCTGATGAGGCTTTGTTTTCTCAACTTCCCAATTACTCCCTCCTTCGTGTGTTTGGGTCTGCTTGTTTTGTCCTTTTTCCCCGTGAAGATAGGACCAAACTTAGTGCCCGGTCTGTCCTATGTGTCTTTTTGAGTTATAGTCTCACTAAAAAAGGTTATCGTTGTTATGACCCTATTTTCCGTTGCCTTTATGTCTTCTGCCATGTTGCCTTTCTCAATCGTCTACCTTACTTTCAACTTCCTCCTCTCACTGCTCCAGTTTCCAAAGAGGATTTGGTTCATATTGATCCATTTCCTTCTGAGTCCCCGTCTGATGAGTACATCTCCACCGTTCCTCTTGAGCTTGTTCCATCTTTTACTCTTGCTTCACCTCTGGCTGTTTCTTCTCCTTCGACTTCGTCTCCTCCTCCGTTGTTAGTTTATTCTCGTCGCAAGGCTCCTTCTCTGCCAGTTGTCTCTGCCCTTGCTGCTGATACTCCTGCTTCTGCAGACTCTGATCTTGCTGCACACCGATATCCTATTCAAGTGCGTCATCTTCCAAATAGGTTGGGTTGGTCTAACACATATTTTTTTGCTTCCTATCATACTTTTTTGTCTGCTATTCACTTTTTTTCAGAATCTCAGTCTTTCAAGGAGGCCTGTTAGTATCCTCATGGGTTCAAGCTATGGAGGATGAGTTGCCTACTCTACAGAAAACTAGTACTTGGGAGTTGGTTCCTTTGCTTGCTGAAAAGAATCTGATTGGTTGCAAATGGGTCTACAAAGTCAAGACTCATTCTGATGGTTCTCTTGAGCGCTACAAAGCTTGTCTGGTTGCCTAAGGTTTCTCCCAAGAGTATGGTATTGATTATGAGGAGACGTTTGCTCCTGTTGCCAAGATGACTACTGTCTGTACGTTGATCTCAGTCGTTGCTATTCGTTCTTGGACTCTTTGTCAGATGGATGTCAAGAATTCTTTTCTTGATGGCCATCTCACTGAGGAGGTTTACATGCGTCCTCCCCCTGGCCTTCACCATTCTTCTGGCCAAGTTTGCCATCTTCGGCGTGTTTTGTATGGTTTGAAACAGTCTCCTCGTGCTTGGTATGATCGCTTTCAGATTGCTGTTACCGAGCTTGAGTTTTATCCTTCTGCTTCTGACTCTGGTTTATTTATGTGACATACCTCGGCTGGTTTTGTTGCTCTCTTACTATATGTGGATGATATGATCATCACTGGCTCTGATTCTTCTGCTATCTCTGAGGTCAAGTAGCATCTCTTCCTCACCTTCGAAATGCAGAATCTGGGTCCATTGCGGTATTTTCTTGGTATTGAGGTTGTTTCTTCTCCACAGGGCTATTTTTTGTCTCAGGCTAAGTATGTTAATGTTGTCATTCACGGTGCTGGTCTTATTGATACTAAGATTTCTGATACACCTATTGAGCTTAATGTGAAGCTCAACTCTACTGATGGTGTTCCTCTGGATGATTTTCCTTTATATAGCGAGCTTGTGGGTTGTTTAGTTTATCTGACTATCACTCGCCTTGATCTTGCTTATGCTGTTCATGTGGTTAGTCAGTTCGTCTCTACTCCTCGCTTATTGGGTTGCTTTGGTTCGCATTCTTTGCTATCTCAGGGGTATTATCTTTCAGGGTTTACTATTGTCCTCTACTTCCTCTTTGGACTTGGTGGCCTATGCTGACTTTGATTGGGCTGGTAATGTTGGTTTGCAAGTCTACATTTGGTTTTCTGTATGTTTCTTAGTGATTCCTTGATCTCTTGGAAAAGCAAGAAATAATCAGTCGTTGTTTGCTCTACTGCCGAAGCTGAGTATCGTGCTATGGCTTATACCACTGCTGAGATTGTTTGGCTTCGTTGTCTCTTGTCTAATTTGGTTGTCTCTCAGTCTTCTCTGACCTCTTTCTGTTGTCACAATCGTAGTGCTGTTCAGATTGCCCACAATACTGTCTTCCATAAACGGATGAAACACATTGAGATTGATTGTCATTTTGTTCGCCAACATCTGCAGTCTAGCTCTATCTCGCTTCCTTTCATCCCTTTGGCTTTGCAACTTGAGGACTTCTTCACCAATACTTATACTACCGCTCGGTTTCAGTTTCTTCTTGACAAACTCTCAGTGTTTTTTGCTAAAATACCTTGAGTTCGAGCGGGGGTGTGAGAATATATTATGTATATATATTCTAAATTAGGCATGATTGTGGTTGTACATATTAGAGGCGTGAGATTGTATATTTTCCTATTAGAGGCATGATTGTATTTTCCTTTTTTGTTTAGGAGTTAGGGCTATATAATCTAAGATCTGATTGTAAACACTGATACAATTGAATATACAGAAAAGTTTTCAAGAATCTTATAGGTAAATGGCCCCATTAATTTAAGTGTACTGCTCCCATAGTGGTTTGTGTTTGAGATTGCTTGCCCATTCCATTCCCTCTTTCCATTATTGTGATTAGTGCTGTGTTTTTTGGTTAAGATAGTAGCATAAACATGACTGATCCATCTAGTGAATCCACTACTTCTCATCCATATAAAGGAGAGAGTCCCAGTCTAGTTATGACTACTATTTCTAAGAACCTAAATCCTAGCTTCAAAATCACCACCTTTCGTCTGACACTTTTTCTAAAGAGTAAGGGGAAAATGAGATATGTTGATGGGAGAGTTCAAGCACCAGATATTACTGATCCTGGCTATGATCAATGGGAGATTACCAACTCTTTGATCATGGGGTGGGTCATTCATTCTATGGTCCCTGAGATTGGTGAATGTTATTTATCCATGGAGACTGCCCAGGATGTTTGGGAGGCAGTAGCTGCTACATATTCCCGGAAGGGAAATTTTTCTTAGTCATTTGAGTTGCGCTGGTCTATTGAGCGCTCAGTACAGGGAGAGCATACAGTTCTGCAGTATTACTGTGACGACCCCTACTACATATCATAATTACATTTATTTAATTATGTGTTAACTTTTAATTGTGATACGTGCCTTGTGATTAATTTGTATATATTTGTCTGATTTGAAAACTATCTGTTATGATTTCTGTTCAGATTTTGAAATTGATGGCTTAAATGATTTCAAAAACCGAAATTGGCTACATGAATAGATTAATTGGAATTTTTTGAACCATTTGGTAAGTTTGATTAAAAATTGATTTAGTTTGATAAATTAAGTTGTGTTTAATTAGCCTAATGTTCTAATTAACGTATTAAGCCAATCCTAGCTATATATATGTGTTATAAGCTCATTCTTGAGCTCATCTTCTTCATTTTTGAGTGCAAAATTCTGAGAACATCTTAGAGAGAGTGAACTCTCATTCTAGAGAGAGAAAGTGTAGAATTTGAAGGAGAACTTGAAGATCATTGCTAGAAGAACCACGATTGTGCAAGAACTAGTGTATTTGAAGGCTCTAGGTGAGAATTTAACCCTCAATTCTTGAAGATAATTCATTTTAGAGTTGAGTTCATGGAATAGATATGATCATTTGCATGTATTTTGTTATAGAAGATTGTAAGAAATAATGTATAGAGAAAGAGAGAGAATAAATTATATGTATTATTATTGATTGATGTAATGTTATTTCTTTTACAATGATTCATGATTCCTATATATAGAAGAGGGTGAGTGTGTAGTGGGTGAGGAGTAGGTGAAGTGGAGGTGGTAGTGGTGTAGTGGGTTAGGTTTAGTGGAGTAGGTGAGATGGTAGTGGTGTAGTGGGTTAGGTTTAGTGGAGTAGGTTTAAGTGGGTGAAGGTTTAGTGGAGTAGGTGAGGTGGTAGTGGTGTAGTGGGTTAGGTTTAGTGGAGTAGGTTTAAGTGGGTGAAGTAGGTGGAGAGTAGGTGGATTTTAACAAAGATAAAGAAGATGTAGTAGCTTCACACGCATGAATGAATATGTTGAGTTTTACCACTTTGGGTTTGGTCTTGATCATCCGTTTGTGAGTTAAATTGCACATGCATCTTTGATTCATCATGTTTTGACCTCTAATTTCATGTTTTGAGAATTATAGAAAGGAGTTTAATACATGCATGGAGAGGGGATGCAAGTAAAATATGAAAATTTGCGATTATGCATGGAGAGGGGATTCAGTTGTGGAAAATATACAACAAAGTACATAACAACCGCCGTAAACCAAAGGGTAGAGAGGGGATGCAAGTAAAATATGAAAATTTGTGTTTATGCATCACCGGAATACACAGGTTAGTTCACAAATGAAGAGCTGAACTGAGTGTAAACCATGTATGAGAATAATATAGCTGGAACTCACCTGTTTCTTTGATTTTGGAAAATAAACTTCAACAAGCATAGCTTTGCTTTGCAATCTGTTTATAACAATGAAATTATGTAAAGAACTTACCTCTGAGGATAATCCTTGTGTTCCATATTTGTCATCCCAAAACATTGTTCCAATGCGATATATTTGTGGAATGCTCAAGATCTAGCTCAAAAAAGGGAAAGCAAAAATAGGAAAACATAATTCAGGGTTCACTATATTGGATTTTTTGATTTTAGTAGACCAGTTTTTAGTGGGTTTTTGAAGTGAAATTAGATGCTGTTCTTTTTTTATTTTTATTTTTGCTTGACTACATTAATTAAGTTACCGGGCAGAGTTCATTTGTGATATCGTCCAGTGATTTTTGAGGCTTTTGATGCGAAACCTGCATGGTGGAAGCATGTTCTTGTTAAATCTTAATATTTAATCAAGTTTATTGGTTGATTGATGTGGGTTCTGAACATCTTACCAGAAATCCTACAGCTTGCCTTATGTGTTGGAGTTCATCCCATGATGATCCTGAAAACTGCATATAATAATTGAAATATAGTCTTCTTATTTTTCATAATCTTGAATCTGCTATACATTAGTCTGAAAAAAGTTTCATGTAGATAATCTTGTTACCTGATCTGTTGCTTTATTGCACCACTGTTCCAGTTCTTGCAAACCAGCCTTTACATATTCTCCATTGCTGAATGAGCAGCACTCACGACGAAGTAATAAACTGCAAATCAGTGGGACATTGGGTTTGGATACTGTAAAAATTGATGTATTATTGATTGATATTTTGATGTATTACAAGATTGATGAATTACAATTCCTATACAATCTATATATAGAAGAAAATGTGGTAGTAGGTGTAGTGGAGGTGATAGTGGGTTAGGTGAAGTGGAGTGTGTGGTGAAGTGGAGGTAGGTGAAGTGGAGTGTGTAGTGGAGTAGGTGAAGGTAAAGATGGGAAATTCTAACAGATACTTGGTTTACTTTTCAGAGTGAATTATTTCGTTCAAGAATCTAGTTATATTTGAGTAGTAAGGGTTGGAGAAGGATGGAGCTGCATACCTATTAAAAAGCTGGACATTTATGAATGAGAAAACCTGACCAAAGATTTTCTTTGAGATTGTGGAGGGGACCTGAAGATACAGTAGGAATACATTAAAAACCGGGAAATTTCCTCTTTAAAACATGAATTCAGAAATGATATGGAAGAAAGATTTCTTCATACATGGTTTCCTGAAAGGATGCTCAAGGTATGATCCAAGTTGTTGACAATACTTTGCCAGTGTATGCTTGATGCCTGTTGTTTTGCAACTATACTTGAATGTATATTTTTAGATGAGCCTCTAATTGCTCTGGCCCTTGTGGTCCTTGGTGCCTGTTAATATATATATATATATATTTGAAGATGTATCAAAGACTATATAAAAATCATTGAACTGGGGTTTTTAAATATAAAATTCTTACCTGTATGCACAAGTTCAAGAATGGACTAATCTCTTTCTTTAAGCTATCACGGATCATACCATATATTTTCTCTACACATGCAGTCAGATGTTGTTTAAATAGTAGGGCCGGGTATTTAGCTTCTATTTTTGATCGTGTGGTTAGCTTTCCCTCCATTCCACTGTACCCACTGGAAATTCCCATGCCCATTGAGGATGAACGAAAACCCTGATATATGTGATATGTTTAGCATTACAAAACTTTGAAATGGTATTTGTGGCAAAAAAGTTTTTGCTTGGAATAGCTTACATGTGCCATTCTACCAAACAAGGTCGCCGGTGAGGTTCGAGTACGATGTGAAGCCACGTTAGGTGTATTGCTGGCCTTGATTGTATTTTGTAGAGAAAACAGAAGGGTAGAAGTTGTTGAGAGCCAATATGCCAGATCTGTGATGTTTTCGTGATGCTGCAATATAGCATAATGCTGCAATTTAGTTTGCATGGTGAAACAGACTATATCATTTGTATTGCCCGAGCCACACAGGACAAAGCTGGTGACTGATGGATTGCACTTAGTTCCAAAGTGCCTAAGGCATTTTTGGTATATATGTAATGGTGGAGAATGCTACCTCTATAGATGAATGGATTGTGTGAATTATCCTATCAAATATATTTGTCTTCTCTGCTTCAAAGGATCTCCATTGGATAAGTGTTTTGTGCACAATGCAGGCAGCGGCAGATCTGCCTTTGTCGAACCGCTTGTCCTCCACGAGGTACTTGATTAATACATCATGGTTTTCCTGGTTATAGTTATGAATATGAGGAGGCATGTAACATGAATAGACAATTAAAACAAGCCAATAGGATTCAAAGCAATCTTTATTTGTTGGACTTCCTATTTTGGTGCATATCCCCCAAGGCTTTTTATCCTTCAATTACATACCTGCTGCCTGTCTGTTAGGGATCTTTGTTTAGCTAGGATAGGGACAAGAGGTTCTGTTTCCTGCAAACATAATTAACTTATTACTTCAAAGGTACAAATTGAATACTCAAGTGTTTACTATTGGTCTGTTCTTTAAGAATAACTTGTGAGAAGGTTGGCTATACTTTTGGTGTTTGATGCTCTTCTTTTGTTGATTGGTGATGCTCTTCTGTTTGGTGCCCATTGTTGAAACACTACATTTTCACAGTGGTCAGTGACAAATAATATAGCAATTTTACCCTAAAAGGCTATTCAAACACGTTGTACCTTGGATTGCAGCTGTACTCGTTCAGGAGTAGTTATTTGCTCAACAACAATTTTCTGGCTGCGGAGCAGCTCATTTTCTGACTCCAAATCTCTAATCTTGTTCTTGAGGCTGACAAAGAAAGATTCATCAGATTCATGTAATGATGACTATTTTCTAAAACAAATAGATAAGCGGCTAACTCTTAGATTAAGATTTCAAGTTTGTTTCAAAAGTTCATAATGAATTGAATCTGTTACCTACACAACTCAAGTCTCAGCAAAGGTAAACAGTGGATGCTGTTGTTGTTGGAAAAATTTAGAAGTGAATGGAATTGGACTCCATTCGAATGAAAGGGTGCAACCCTTCATGGTGTTCTCCATATGAAAGGGTGTGACTCTAGACTCATGACCCTTATGAATGGCCACAAATAGTTCTATAAATACCATCCTCATGGCATGCATTTGAATAGCAGGTGTTAGGATTCATACATATGTCATAGTCAAGTATAAAAGAGAGAGTGCATAACGTAAATTAGTTTGCTGTATACACAGAAAGTTGTGCAATTTCTGTGTGGGGTAATCGTTGTATCCTGAAGACAGGACGTCCATTAATTGCAAGCACCAGAGACGAGGGCGAAATTTTTTTGTCTTAAAGACATAGTGTTTAAACATTGGCTTCGGTCACAAACTGTTCTAACTTTTGAAGAATTTCTATAAGAAATTTCTTATGTTTTATTTTATTATTTATTTGCATTAAATTGATTTGCCGAAAATATTTTTCCTACAATTTTAAGACAAAAATTTCATTATTTGTAGTGATACAGATTAATTCTTTTCGGTTAAATTAATTTTTTGCAAATTTGGTTTCCTGCAAAATTTGTTTCCTACTTTTAGTAAAACTCGAGTATTGTTATTGCATCTTTTCTTTGGTAATAGAATTGATAAATATGATTGGTAATTTTTTATCCAAAGTTGTGTTTAAGTAGAATTCTATTGCATGATTTTTTTTGGTATATGTTTACAATCAATGAGGTGTAATTAAGAAAATAAGATCTTTGTGACTTTCAATGTTCGGTGACCAGAACTTGGTTCAACTATAATTTCTGCTGCATTTTGCATTTTATTTGTGAAACACGTGATTTTGTTGTTTATATATGTTATCAATATACCTGAAACTTTAAGTTTTGCAAGAATTATAAGATATTGTTAAATATGATTTGTTTGAATGTTTTATTAAAACTGTTTATATAGTTTGACTATATGTTTGTGTATATATCTGAAAGTTGATAGGCATGATCTTTTCATAACTGGAAGTTGGAAAAGGAAAATCTGAGAAACTTTTCTTGTTTGAAAAATCTGAATCTTTTGTATGATCTTGATTGTTGCTTGTTGTTGAGAATTTATTATATACATATATATATATATATATAATATATGTGTGTGTGTGTGTGTGGGACATTCAAGTTTCCTGATTTCTTGGGATGATGGCTTTGTCTTTGGCCGAATCTACAGTGTGGGTTGTCAAGAGTGATATAATCCACAATGAAGTAACTTGAATAATTTAGATTCACATCATAATTAGAAGGGTGAAGTTCTTCATCGATTAATTTTAATCGGTTCGATTTCTTCACGGATAGGGGCATACCCAACTTTTTTGGAAGGATCAGAAATAAATTTTCATCTGGGTCAATGTACTTAATGAGAGTGATGCACCGTTTGGCCAGTGATGTGCTGATGCCATTGAATATGTCGTTGGAAACGGAGAAACCAATCGGCATGATGGTGTTCCGTACAAAGGTGACATTTTATTTAATAATGGTTATGACCCAACTGTTTTTAACTTGAAGTTGTGTCCTTAAACGTTGTATATGAATAGCAGAACTAATGTATGTTGTTACAGTAGTTATCTGTTTGATCTGTAGTGTAACATTAGTGGGCATGACATTTTTTTTCCCCATTGGGTAGTGCTATATTTATGAGACTTCTATGTTGTTCATATCAAACAACATTGATGGCCTTTAGTTTTCGGCCCGCATTTTCGTAGTGTGCATTACAATCCTTTATATATATATATATATATTTTGTTTGAGGATTGTTTTGGGTCATATTTAACACCAGATTTTTTTGGGTTTTAATACAAAATTCAATTTTGGTTTAATCAGACTTCATTTAGAAAATTAGTTTTTAAATCTTTGTTTCTAAACTCTCAATTTAAATTATATTTTAATTGGGGCTTGAATATTGGCTATATTGTTTATATTTTATATTTTGGTTCAATTCTATCATTTTGGATCAAAAGTTATTTGTGGGAGTTTCACTGTTGGTTAGATAATTTAATTATCTTTTGTCACAAGTATTTGTTTTGAATGAATAAATGATGATTCTATCAAAAATGAGTTATTATTTGCGACAGTGATACTTGTTCATAAATGAGTCATGTTGTTCATGGTAATTTACGTATTATCACAAATGTGGGGCAGAAAAGCAGAGTTGTCTTACCCATGTAAACTCAAATAAGATGTAATTTAAGAGTTGAAGTCTTAATTTGGAGGTATAGGTATTTTTTCCCCTTTCTTGATTGCATTGTAAGAACTTATACAATCAAATGAGGTTTTTAAATTATTTGATTTTTGGGCAAAATCTTTCTGAGGATATAATTTTGTTTAAGCATTAATTTTGACTTGTGTAGTCATAATTGGTCTAAGTTGTCTATTTCATAAATTTGATTTAGAATTTTATAATTCAAACACACCATAGTCAATAAGTGATAAATGTTATATTCTGATTTATATCAGAATTGTGGGGGTGTATTGATATTTTCATGTGGTAATATCTTAACAAGGAAATTAATTTTCCTTAGAGTACTTAAAATGTGGGGTGCTTGGAGGATCTTACTAAAGAAACGGTTCCGATGGTAGGTCCACAAAGGATCTCAATTCTTTGTCTTAGACAAAGTTGGAGGAGAAACAAAAGGGACTTTGTTAACTCCTAAGGAACATCTCTATGTCTATTAATTAAAATTAAATATGGGAGTGAAATAGAGTAACAGTAAGTCTCAATATAATCAAAGATTTAATACCGTAGGACATTTGCTCTTAGTTGTGAATATTATCTAAGGAATATAGTGGATCCATTAATTACTCAATGATATATAACTGAGAAGGTCAAACTGAGAAGGTCAAACAAAAAATAGCGGCTGTCAAACAAAAAATTTGACCAGAGAGCAAATGAGGAAAAGTTCATTGAGGGGAATGTGATTAAAGCCTATTAATTTCGAGTCACTATAATGGCAACCCAATCTAACTAACTGGAGATCCTAAGATCTAGGTTCAAAGGGACAACCAAATTATGAATGACTCACTAGAAATCACTAAGGGAATCTATCTTCTATCCATTTCTACGATGAGAGTGATATCTGCAACATGTGTTGTATATAGGGGACCTAGGGTAAGTTATGCTTTTAATGATCACTAATATTTTGAAAACCTAGAGGGGTATTTTTCAAGAGTGTTTAAGAGACTCAAAGCAAGGATCACCTATATGAGTGTGAAGGGGCCACTTCTATGAGAATTGATAAGGCTAAATTCTCTAAAACACTCATGAACACCAGGAATTGCCCAACGCCAAAACGGGCACAACTGAAAGAACCAAGTTGTGTTCGGAGATAGTTTGTGTGAATTCTATTGTCTTGACTTACATAACGGCTAAAAAATTTAAGGCACCATGTTCACTGATTAGCTAGTAAGTTCGATAGTCTTTCACTAAGGAAGTTTTAAGGCCAAAAACTACCTATCCTGATCTAGGATATTTCCATTTTGTATTCTCTTTTGTCAGTGTCTGCATTTCATTTGCATTATATCATCAATTTCATTCTTGTGGGGATTGTTGGAAAAATTTAGAAGTGAATGGAATTGGACTCCATTCGAATGAAAGGGTGCAACCCTTCATTGTGTCTCTTCATATGAAAGGGTGTGACTTTAGAGTCATTCCCTTTATGAATGGTCACAAATACTTCTATAAATACCATCCCTATGGCATTCATTTGAATAGCAAGTGTTAGGATTCATACATATGTCATAGTTAAGTATAAAAGAGAGAGTGCATGACACAAATTAGTTTGCCATACACACAGAAAGTTGTGCAATTTCTGTGTGGGGTGATCGTTGTATCTTAGAGGTAAGACGTCCATTAATCGCAAGTACCAGAGGCAAGAGCGAAATTTTTTTGTCTTAAAGACACAGTGTTCAAACACTGCTCTTAGTCACAAACTGTTCAAACTTTTGAAGAATTTCTGTAAGAAATTTCTTGTGTTTTATTTTATTATTTATTTGGATTAAATTGATTTGCCGAAAATATTTTTCCTACAGTTGTAATATTGATTATTGATATGAGCTTTTCATTATTAAGGTAAATTTGCAAGGTCTATAGAGTTTGGTATGGAACCAATATAGTAATTCAAGGTTGAATGTTTTTATGTAATTTATCAAATTGTTCACTGTAGAATATTTTATTTGATAGTATTTATCCATCCTGAAGAGAAGCAGGTCAGCTTAACAGTAACATGTTTTGGCTGCATAATAACATTGACAGAAGAAGTTTCTAGTTATAATTTTTGTTCAAAGTGAAGGAAGCATTATTATTAGCTTTTCTTTATTTATTTACTTATTCATCCTGCCTTTTTTCTTTCACTCAACAAATATCCAAATGAGCTCAACTCTGTTGGATTTCTTGTGAGGTTAAATGATTAACTGGTTCCTAGTTTCTATAATGTTTTTATACACCAGATAACAATGTCAAGTTCTTACATTTTCATTTCTTCAGAGAGTTCCTCATTTGTTGATGCAACCAAAGCCTGCTGACGTAAAACCTGGTTCTCAGACTCAAGGTTGGACAGGTTCAGTTCTAATCTGAAAGCGAGCATAAAGAAGATATAGTTAGAACAAAATCAATAATTGTAAAGATGTATCTGCAAATAGTTCTTTTGACTACCTTTCAATGTTCTGTTGAAGCTGTGACACTTTTATCTGTGAATCCTCTGCTTCTTTTATTCTTGCTTTGCTCTCATTTTCAACTTCAGAATATTTCTGCTCAAATTCCTCAACCCTCTTTTTTAGCTCTGTTATCTCACCCTACACATCCAGAATGCATAGTAAATCAGTCGCCACCTATCCCTGGCATATGAAAATTTCTGACCTTTTGCCATTATTTAGCAGCTCAAAAGGCACTCGCATGGCACACCTTGCTGCATATTTTCTGTGCAGCTGTACTTTGGCCCGTTTCTATAACCACTATGAGAGTCCTCTTATATTTTATGCTATCATTTATTCTCTAACTCATTTTCATTTAAATTTAGCTCTCTTGACAGAAATTATAGTAGTCTGAGTTGCTTGATTTACCTCGAGTTCCTCATTCTGAAGTGTCAATTCCTCCACCTTGCTGTTGTCCACAACCGGTACCTCTCTGATTACTGGTGGGGCTTGTTCAATTGCTATCTTTGCTTCTTCCTTCTCGTGAATGATTGCAGCATGAGCTTCATCCAGTTTCCCTTGAATTTCGTGTAAGGCACTTTGTAGTTTTGCAATTTCTTGTCCTTTTGCTTCTTCAAGATCAGTCTACAGGGAGAACACATTTTATAATGGTGAGCTGAAAAAGACTATACTTTCAGCATTCAGTTTGAGTGTTTTTCAGTTATCTGTTTCACTTATAGTTTTCCCTACCTGTCTACTATATTTAGTCTGTAACTCATCATAAGTTCAATATGTCTCCACATACTTTACTATGCTGTAGTTGAGACAAGTTTTATTTATTGGGTTCAGGGCATATAGGTATTTATTATGGATACACAAGCTCTGACATTGGCTAGAATGAAGGTTGTTGCTTGATGTGGCTGAGCCTCGCCCACCCAACCCCTTTGTGTAACTGATATCTTAACTAAACTGTTAATCTTTTTCCATTTGAACTGGATCAATTACAAAGATAGTAGCACCCACATTTGCTTTTCAAATATTACTGACTGTGTCAGGTCTTAGTGTTTGTGAGTCATTTCAACAAAGTTGTTAGAGAATATACCCTCAAGTGCTTTTCAAAGTCTAGTCGCCATGTTAGCTCTTCAACGCGCTTCTCCAGCTTGTCCTTGGCTTCTTTAAGTGCCCCTGTTTCTCTTGCTTCCTGCGTTCAAGAATTCCTCAATTCTTAGCTTCATGTTTGCTTGTAATTTAGGTTTGTTTATAGAGCAGTTCAGTGTTTGAGATTGGTGAATAGTTCTATAAAGAATAAAACTTACCATCTTCAGCTTTCTAAGCTCCTTCCTTGCAACCTTTGATCTCCAAAGACATTGAAGTGTAAGAGTTGCTTTCTTTTGCTGGTTATAAGTGGAAAGAGCATGGTATCTTCGCCATTCAGTCTGCAAGAAACAAAGATTGATAGAATAATCAATCCTTTTTTTGAGGTCGATAATTGTGGATATTTGTTGCATTTGAACCTTATTACCAATGCTATATCAACGACCCCTAGATTGTTACCATATTCTTAACTCATTCATGTAATTTAAGTTATCCCGACTTGTTCATCAAGTAGGTGAAATTTAATTTTGCAGCTGCATATTATGTTCCCCCAACTATTTATGAATATTCCAGATTCTGCACATCTTTCCAAAATTGTTTCTGAAATTTTGATTACTCCTTGTAGTTTATAAAATAGCACACATTGCTCTTCATATTCTCAAATTTGTGGTTTTTCTCAGAATCTAACATTTGTGGATGGTGAAACACTTTTGATCCCAAATGATTGCCTGTGTTAAAATTTTCTCTATTTTATTATGTTTAAAATTCTAGTGAAAAAAAATCCAAGATTTCCCAACTAGAGTGAACTTATTACCTGAAGTATAATTGCCGCTTTGTTTCTTCTTCTGTGTCTGTATTCATTTCGAGCATCCATTGCTCTCAATCCAGTTTGAATAGCTATTGCCGATGCCTGTAAGTTTGTGTAAGATTTTCTTGCTGCATGAGCACGCAAATGTTTCTGTACACAGATTGAAGCAGCTTCCTCTCTCATACATTCATACAGCTGACGTGCAAGTTGTGCTGTGCAAGGCAGCAAAAGAAAAATAGTCATATCCAGTCCTCCGCCAAAATTGCTTATAGAGATGGCATTGGATTAGGTTCTGGTGGGATTGTCCACATAAATATCCCTTCAACCTCTGATCTATTCATCATTGGGTTGTAAAACTGGTTTTGTTAAACCCAAACCAATAAGTAGGGTCAAACTGACACACATTTAACCTCCTAATTTTACTTAAAAACAAAAATGTTAAAAAATCAAAAACATTGTGGTAGAAGAAATTTGTAGAAGATTTTCAGTTCGTTTATAGTTTTTGGGGTAAATAGCCGTTGATAGAGTCGAGTGGAGAAGAAGGATTCATGTGGCCTACCCTATTTGATGGGACTTAAGGCTTGGTTTGGTTTGGTTTGGTTTATAGTTTATAGGGTCCAATCTTCAAATTTCATGAGCAATGATGCTATTATGTAATTGCTCAGGAAAAAAAGGGTTACCTCTCCAAAGTTTCTGCATATGAATTGTAGCCCCTCTTAGGGTGATGAACTCCTTTCGGGTGAGATATGTTCGGATTAGCCTTTGGATGCGCCTAGCAGCATTAGCTAGAACTTCAGTTCTTCGAGCATCTAATTCAGCCATCTGTCCTGCTCTAAGAAACACCTTTGTTTTCCCAATCTGAAATATAGATTATTAGGTTAAAACAGTTTTCCCAATAGTTTCTAGGAGTTTTCTCAGAAATTCACTGGTAAGCATGCTATTACATATTATATACACAATAAATTCCAGATTTAGTACCTGATAACCCTTTAAGCCCATCCTGTCACAGATGGCAATGCATGCTGATTTCTCGTCAGATCTGCAGAGTGGAAAACAGTTAGCACCAAAGTTGTTACTACATGAATGTACTTCATAGTATTGCCTCTGAGTTGTTGAAGATGATAATGAATGTATGGAGATGATTCATATGTTTGAGTCCACAGTACTGAATTGGATTGTTTATAAAGTTCTTGTCTTTACTTGTGTATATCTTAACAATGAATAGCTAATTTATACCCGTCCAGAACATCTGGAGCTAACATCCCAAAGCGGTCAAGGAACTCATCAAATGATCTTTTTGTTGGATATCCAGCGCAGCTGATCCTAATTGCCTCTAGTACACCCTGCCAAAATAATTGCCAGAAAGACTTATCAGTAGAGGCAAGTTCTAAAGTAGCCAGTGGATTGAATGCTATGCATTGGGTGAAGTTGAATTAGAAAGTCACTTACCCCGCATCTCAATTGATTTAAGACGTTGGGGTTCTCGAAGATTCCCGGTTTCAAAACTGTATTGGGCTTCACACATCTGATGTAATGTGGCTCAGTTGTGCTCAGGGTTTCCATTAAAGATTGTAGTTGTTGCTGGATTTTGAAGTTTGATGCATGAGTCATCAGGACTTAGACCCAAAATTGCTTAAAATTCCTGTAACCTATGAAATTTGCCTTACCTTGAAGCGGGTACCAATGGATGAGAACTTGGATTGCTTTGCTGTTTCTTCAGGTAATGTAGGGAAGAGATTTGCAACAAAAGTGCACTTGGATGCATCTAATAGAGCTTGATGTTCTGCTACAACGTAATCCTTGTTTTTGTCGAGGAAGTGATCAGCTTGGTAAATAACCTGTTGGACCAAAAGTGTTTCAGTGAGAAAGTGATTAGTTTAATATATTATTGAATAATCAGAAGTGGAAACTTTGGGATTGATTACATCTCCAGCATAATGGTTGACAGTGAAGGCTGTTCGAGCAAGTTTTGGCTTGCTAAAGCGTTTGTGTCCTTTATATGTCTGGTACATCTTTTGGGCAAATGTCTCATGGGTTGACTTGGGAAACATGCTGCAAAAGAAAATCAATGAAGCCATATACCATGCATGCATTTGTATTCATGTATACGTTGAAGTGCTTGTGCGCAATTTTTTTTTTTTTTCCATAAATAAATAAGAAGGGTTAACACGGGAGTGTTTTCTCCTTCCCGCAAAAAAATAAGGATATAGATATTATTTTTCTGGCAGGTACCACTGGTTGTCAAAAGTTTGAACTTTGATCATGCAGTGTTGAGGTATGAACGTGTTACACCTGTCTTTTAACACATTGATACGTTTATGGTATGGCAAGTAGGCAAAATACGTACCAGGCTTCATCAAGAAGAGCAATTATACCCCCAGGTTTCTGCATGCACAAGACACAATCATCCTTCTAGGGATCCTTCTTATAGTCAAGTAGTGTGAAAATTGGATAGAGTCAATACCTTCTCGATAAGATCTAAAACATCTTGGTTATCTACAAATTCTACATAACTCCAGTTGATTTCCTCTCTTGTGTACTCCTCTTGCTCCATCTTGAATACATGCTGTAAAGATGATTTTCCATGTAACTGTGTATACAGAGCATTGTAGCATATAGACCATACAAATGTGCATACATACTTTAGTAGGCATGTAAATTTGGTGTCTTGGCCTGGCTGGCCCTGTTTCTGTTGGGCCTAGCCCAACAAGGATTGTACCAAATCCTAGGCCAGGCCAAATTAGGACCCTAGGGGAGGGTGCTTTTTTATGACTGAAAATTTGAAAAACTGGGCCCATCTCTGGCTCAGGTCCTACCTGAGGGAATTTGGGCCTAGGATAGCCCGGCCCTAGGCGGGGCTGACCCATGAGCCTCAGGACATTTTTACATGCCTAATAATTACATATGCATTTATAGATCTTAGTAAATACAAAATTTTGATACTAAATAGAATTCTCGTGCTCACCTGATTGAAATGTTGTTGTAACTTCTCATTTGTTAGATTGATGCATAGCTGCTCAAAACTACCAGATAGAGCATGTGATAAGCTCTTCAAAGTTGAAATTAAGGAAGATTATATTGTGAAAATAAATCTATCAGTCTTTACCTGTTGATCTTGAAGCTCTCAAAGCCATAAATATCAAGGACACCAATTATACTTTTTGCAGTGGGATCCTGGCCGATTGAACTGTTTATCTTGTCTACAATCCTGCCATAGTTCATTAAGCATTACAATGTAATCTTTCACTCACTGCAGGATAGACCCTGTTTGGGACTGAAAAGCAATTTTTTACTGAACTTAGAAGCCAAACGTTCTCAGCTATATTCTTATGACTACGGATCTCTTGACTAGCATCAGTGCTATGCTATCAAGTCTCTTAAGAAAAAATGTCAGCCTACTAAGTTGAGTTGACAAATAAACTTGACCATGGCTTCTATCGTTATGTAAACACTGAAGGCTAGATAGATTAAATTGCATGTTGCAGCACTATGGAACTGGATTCTTGACAAGCTTATTAATGTTTATGGTTATAATTTCATGCATAGTTACCAGGGAAAAAGTGTATCAAAAGTAGCTATATTTGATTCACATTTCACCTACCTTTTCCCTTTCCCTTGCTAAATCCCTACCCAAATCTATGAACCAAACACGGCCTTAGTGTATTTTCCCTAGAGTAGGGAAAAATATTCTTATCCACTTTTTTACCATACTGGTACTTGTAAAGATCTAATCCAAATTAAACAAGTCTTTGTTTTGTTTTGTTTTGTTTTTTTTTGATGGGTCAAACAAATCTTTGCATAAAATAATCAAGATACGAAGGGGAAAAACCTTAGAGTTTGACTCACATTAATAGCCCTTCATCATAGTTTATGACATGAAATAATTTGAGATATTTTGTTAGCTTTTGATTCATCAGACTCTACTTTTGCATAACTAGAGCTTAAATGAAAGTGGGATTATTGGTGACAATTTTATTATGAATCATAATACAACATTCATGGCCAAATATTTAAATTACATGGAAAACCTTATTGTTACAATTGTTTTTAAGACAATGATATATGTTATCATTTTCCTGTGGTGTCTTATGCTGGAAAATAAAAGGAAAGTTCGAGAATCATGAAAAAGAAAGGGAGGAAAGTCGTGCAAAAGTTATTCTCTCCCTCATTTCTTTATATTAAATAAAATAAGTAACCGCATTCTACGAAGCTTCATCCAACACTTCTCTGTTAGTGAATTTATATCACTGTAAATATCTAACTTGCTCATTACATTATGGAAGAAACAATTCTTATTTCCTTGGTGAGCACAAGTGCAAGTTATCTTTTGTTCATATGTAGAGTACAAAATTACCTTGTGGCATTTTTCTTAGTAAGTCTTGCTATCTTCATGTACTCATTTTTATAATGCCGTACTTGGTTATGGGAAGATTAGTGGTTGCCTTTGTTCAATAAGCATTGTTGGGCCCATTTTCTAAATGCTTAAGCATTTGGAATAATTGGTAACCTAACATGGTATTAGAGCTTTGGTTTTGAAAAGTTTTGGGTTCAAGTCTCTTTGCTTACATTTGGACCCCCATTTGGTATGTTTGTTTGAACTCCATTTAATTATCTGTTTGTCTCTCCATGTATAAGACGAGGTTGCATATGAGGAAGATGTTGGATAGCTTGATAAACATTGTTGGGCCCATTTTCTAATTGCTTAAGCTTTGGGGATAATTTGGTGACCTAACAACGATATGATAGCTTTTGGGACAATTGGTGATCTAACAACCTTTATTTGACATAAGATGTTTATGGGACGTTTTATGGAAATTCCTAGTCTTGACTGCAATAATTTATATGTTTTGGCTACAATAGTTCTTGCCCTATCAGCACTTGAAATGCCTATATATGTCTTGCCTATGTTGCACAATGCTAAACTTGGGAAGAGCTTCCTGATCATAAATTTTTTTTTTTGGAGGCTAGATTTTAATCTAGATAGCAACTGCATGGCAATTCATTCGAGTCAGGAACTGATATATTGAATGGTTACCTTTCACTGGCAGTCGTCACAAAGGATGCTCATCCTTCATCTTTCCACACGAGCTTTGGTTCATGTTTTTTTCTGCAAGGAAGTGAATATACCTCTGGTGGAACTTGTGACCTTAATGTGAATTCTTTCTGGGTTATAACAATAAGTGACTTCAAATCTGACTTCACTTTCCCTCCGTCCTTTACTCCATTTGTCAAATCTCAAATAGATTCTGCTCGGACTGGTTTTATCCATATAAACAACCAGTGGATTCTGATATCTGACTATGAGATCCTGTAATCTTCTTGAATTTTCTGATCTGATCTGATTGGTTAAATAGATAATTTACCTTATCAGGATGGCATGCTTTTTGTGATACTAGATCCTGTACACTTGAGGACTTTTTGATGCTACAAGTAATCATGTACACTGTTGTTCGATAAAACTGAAAAATTTTATTGTTGAATTTATTTATTTTTTTTGATCGGCAAAAGTTAGTGGTTAGTTATTAAATTAGCACCTTGGGGTAGTTGAAACTCACGCCCATACACCTTGCAAGAATATCTTGCCCTCCCATTCCATTCCTAAGAGTGGAATCTAAGACCTCCCCCTTAGGAGAGACTTGGTGGCCAAAGGGGTGGCCAACTAGACTAGAGCCCCTTGGTTTATATTGTTGAATTACTAGAACTAAAGCCTTTAAGTTTACTAAAATAAAGTAGTTTAGAAAGTAATTTTTTTAAAGCTTATTTAGTGATAAAATATGTAGTAGGGTGAACAAAATGATGATCCATTCAAACTGTTCCAAGGAATTCTACCTGTCTTCATACAATTATTGTTGATCTTGCAGCCAGATTGTAGGAAGTGGGAAGTATGTTTTTACATTTTCAATGAGAAGCTCTACTGCAAGGATGAAAAAAGTTTCTTATATATATTTCTCTTGTAATCTTTCATAACTAATCATATATTTATTATTAAAAGTAGTGTTTTTCCCATACTTAAGTGGCATATTATAAGGGCTTACTTTTTTTTTAAGAGAGCCACGTCAGTATGTATTTTCTTAATTACATATAGAGTTCTATACAAACCCAAACCTAAACTTAATTTAAATTATACTAACTTTACCTCTTTTATATGGACTCTATTTGACAAATATTTCTTTCCATATATTTTTCATGGTAAATTGAGATAATCCACAAATCCAATACCAATTTTGCATTTCACGTTTTTCTTCTTATTCTTTCAAGGGTATTACGATTTTTTTTTAATACTAAATTGCCTTTTTTTTTTCCTTCTTATTTTTCCGTGCATTATTCTATATCCAACGCCAATTCTATATTATTCTATATTATGGATTTGTCTTTTAAATTTTATAGTGATTCTATATATGAAATTATATTTCATTTCCTACATTATTTTATATAATCATAACTCACAGAAGGAAAAACTTACACAACAATGATACTCTAAAAAAACCTCTAAAGTTTGAATTTACTATTTGAGTTACTTTTTCAATTGTTGAACAAAGTTCTTTTATGTTTTGACATCATATTACAGATGATTAATCACTTCACACATTGGGGATGTATCTATTGTTTGGATGTTTTCATTATTTTTTCTTTTTAGGTTTAGACATTGTTATGTAATTCTTTCTTGGTTAGTCATTGTTTAATTTCTTTTATATAATTGATATTTTAATATAAGTAAGAGTGTTTATTTTACAATCTTATAATTTAATATCTATATAATAAAGCAAGAGGGTTTTTGAAAATGTGTCAAAATGTCTTAGAGATACATTTTGTTTCAAGGATTGCGATTAATTTCCAAATTCATCCTAGGGTCAAGATTTCTTTAATTCCCACTCACTCACCTTCTTTTCCCCCTTTTTGTTCACTCTCTCTCTCTCTCTCCCCTTTTTATTTTTTTATTTTTTCCCTTTTTATTTTCCTTCCTATTTCTTTATCCCCCCCCCCTTTTGCTCACTTTATTTATTTATTTATTTCTATCATATAAAATCATTATATGATAATCCAACTACAACATATTTATATTTAATTTTTTTAATAAATTTTATATGATATCTATTTCTACATATTTTATTTTCCAAATGAATATAAAAGAAAATTAAATAGTTAGAATTACTTTTAATTTTATGTTACTAATTCTTCTTCTAATTTAACTATTATTTTTAATATCAAAATGAGTATTTATTTTATTATTTTATAATTTAATATATATCATATAAAATTATTATATGATAATTATACTTTTATAATACGATAAAACAAAAATTATCAAAATACACAAATAATTTAACTAAAATTAATGTATATAAGTATTCAAGTAACGATTTTATAGAATGATAGCGCCAATATTAGCAAAATAAATAATTAAAATTATACTTTAATTTTAATTAAAATTATTTTTTTATAACACATTGTACCATCAAATATTTAAAAAAGAAAAAAGAAAAAGCAAATGCATTGCAGGGTCAACTGCTAGTTATTCAATAATACAATAGTTGACCATATGTTTATTGCTTATTGTTGTTTTATTATTTATTTATTATAAACAAAACACCACTATTATTCCTTCTTATACACTACTTCTATACAAATAAATGTATATAGTTAAACTAACTAATGGAACTAGGGAGATCCTAGTTAAACAATGCAACTCTTAACTATCGTCAAATCAAAACGAAAATAAAAACATCATCCTACTAAAACTAAAATAAATAAAGTGACCACTTTTCAATGAGATTGTGCTGGCGAATGAAATTTGAAATTCTTTATCATCTCAGGAAGTTCATCATCACCGCCACAAGACATTGGTGCTAGCACATGAAGTTCATCATCACCACTAGAAATCGGTGATGAACGAAGAAGTTCATGTTCACCATCACTAGAGACTGATGCTAGAGAAATAAATTTATCACTACCAGAGAACGATGTCAATGCAGGAAGTTTATCGCCCGTCACCATCACTATAGGCTGGTGCTGATGTAAGAAGTTCATCATCTTCACCACCAGACACTAGTGCCTGATGAGGAAGTTCATCATCACCACCACTAGACAACGATGATGGAACAAGAAGTTCATTATCATCATCACCACCATTACAAACTGGTGCTGGAGCATGAAGTTCGTCATCATCAGAAACCGGTGCCAAGTTCATGGTCATTATCACTACCATCAGCTACTAGTGCTAGAGCATGAAGTTCGTCACCATTTGTAGAAATTTAATGTATAAAGAGAAATGATTGTATTATTAATTGATATATATTGATGTTATTACAATGATTCATGATTCCTATATATAGAAGAGGGTGAGTGTGTAGTAGGTAAGGAGTAGGTGAAGTGGAGGTGGTAGTGGTGTAGTGGGTTAGGTTTAGTGGAGTAGGTGAGGTGGTAGTGGTGTAGTGGGTTAGGTTTAGTGGAGTAGGTTTAAGTGGGTGAAGTAGGTGATAGGTTTGGGTGAAGTAGGTGATAGGTTTTAACACCATTGCTACCATCAAACCTCGGTATCGAAGCAGGAAGTTCATTGTCATCACCACCAAACTCTGGTGACGAAGCAAGAAGTTCATCACCATCATCACCCCCAGGCACTAGTGAAGGCACCTCTTGATCATCATTAGATACTAGTGATAGAGCAGCAGGAAGTTGATCGTTAGCAGACACCGCATGAGTGTCACCTAAAGGTGAAGGTGCAGGTAAAATAGGAAATTGATTGTTGTCACTAGATATCAGTGCCATTGCATAATCATCTATTGGAAGTGTAGGTCCAGGTGCAGGTGCAGGTGTCGGTGGAGCATGAATGGGCAACAAAGAATGTGCGGGTGATGTAGGAGAAGAATGACGATGACATTGATGTCTAAGCCAATGAAAAATGTGGCTGTGAATGTACAATAAATCTTCATGAATTGTTTTGACATCCTCACAACACTCCTTGCTGATGTGAGGAATCATATGGAGAACCATTCTATCTCCATTATTAGGAGTATTATGATGATGATTCTATATGAATTGTGTGGGGCACCAAGACCCAACCAACATTGCTTCACCTCCTCCACCGCAGGAAGTCCCCTTGGGATTGGGAATCCCAGAAACTGTGGAATTGGCCACCGTGGCGGGAAAATTGGCCTCTGTGGATACCTTGGCCATTGCTCGGTTTTGATACCTCCTCTTGAATTGCTTTTACTAACTCTAGAATCACCTAAATCAGTGGTTTCAGTATTGCCTAGGTCTTGTGCTGTTGCTAACAAGGCCAAAACTACTATAACTAAAAACCCTCCCTTCATTCTGACCAAACTACAACAACTAAAAAATCCTCCTAAATTGTTGAGGAAGTTTTTATGGTTCCTCCTCCTGGGCTTCTGCTTAAGTTTGCAAACTTTGCAAAGCGTACATGGTCTCAAACAAGCTACTTGGGCTTGGTTTGAAAAAATTTCTACCGTGGTTTGTGGTTTGGGATTTTGTACATGATTCGGCTCTTTTCATTCGCTGTACTTCTGTGGGCCTTGTCATTCTTTTGTTATGTATTGATGACATGATTATCACTGGTGATGATATTGATGGTATTTTTGTTCTCAGGTCTCACCTGCATCATCACTTTGAGATGAAAGATCTTGGCTCACTTATTTTCTTGTTATTGTGGTGGCTTCTTCTCCTAAAGGGTATCTTCTATCTCAGTCCAAATATGCAGTTGATGTTATTCAGAGGGCCAATATGACAGATTCCTGAATTGTTGATACTCTATATGAACTTAATGTGCACACTATACCTCTACTGATGGTGTTCCTTTATCTGATCCTACTTTGTATTCTGTTCTGGTGGGCAGTCTTGTTTATCTGACAATTACTCGCCCCAACATCGCCTATGCAGTACATGACGTCAGTCAGTTTGTTTCCAACTTGACTACTGTTCACCGGGCTTATGTTCTTTTGTATTTTGCTCTATTTTCAGGGTTCCTTGCATCAAAGTCTATTGTTATTTGCTACTTCTTTGGATCTTCATGCCTTTTCTAATGCTAATTGGGTTCGTGATGCTATGGATCATAAGTCAACTACTGGTCTTTGTGTTTTTCTAGGTAGTTCTCTTATTGCCTAGAAGAGTAAAAAGTAGACTATTGTTGCTCGTTCTTATGCCGAGGTTGAGTATCGTGCTATGGCTACTATAACTGTTGAAATTGTTTGGTTGCACTAGTTGCGCTAGTTGCTTATAGATTTTGGTGTTTCCATTTCTACTCCTATTCCTATGTATTGCGATAATAAGAGTGCCATTCAAATTGTTCGTAACTCAGTTTTTCATGAGCAAACCAAACACATTGAGACTGCTTGCCATTTTGTGCGCCATCATCTGTAGCTTTGCATTTTGTCGTTGCCCTTTGTTCTGTCTATTATGCAGCTCACTGACTTCTTTACGAAGTCTCATATTATTTTGTTTTTCCTTTTTCTACTTGACAAACTCTCAATGCTTCCTATTGTCACATCTTTTGCTAGCTTAGTCTTATTAGCATCTAGGGCTAGCTTAGTTTTCTTATATATATATACATATATTTCTCTTGTAGTCTTTCATAATTAATTATTCGGTAATACTATTGTTTAGTTTGTAATCTAGTTTTCAAAAACTTTAGTCACATTAGATTTTAACTCATTATATTTGATTTTCCTACTCTTAAGATAACTTTAAGAGAAATATATTGGAAAAAAACTTTTGGGATCTCTTTGGATCACTAAATTTACTGTTTTGGATTGAAAGTGTACCATGTGTTTCAAAACGTAATTTGTTGAGGTATTAGCATTTTTTGGTAACACTGGGTAAATCACTAATGCTGTGTTTGGTTGAGGGATTTGGGGAGGGATTTGGAAAGGGAAAGGGAAAAGGTGTGTGAAACTAGGTGAAATATAGGTATATTTATTCACATTTCACCAAACTTTTTCCTTTCCCTTTCCAAATCCCTGTTCAAATCCTCTAACCAAACACAGCGTAAATGTTTTTAGTTTCTTGCACTCAATCCCCATTCTTCAAAATCTTCATGTATGAAGGAATAGAGTTCATTTTGCCACTGGAACAAAAGTGCCTTGGTAATTTAGTGCCATATATCAAAACCAACATAGTCTTTAAGATGGGATTCACGATAATTGGCATCCTCAAGTTCGTGCCACAATCCACCAAGTATTATTCCTTCAATGAATTAAGATGATGAATCTGAATACCAGACATTTGTATTTTCTCCTTCCCAATATAATTGATATGGCAGAAATATAATACTCTTATGTAGGAGTGCTTCAGTGTGGGGGGAAGATAAAATTGAAAGGTCCAAGAAAAAGAGGTGAGTTTGATATGCTTACCAATCAAAAAGTCGGGAGTATATTGTCTTTGCCATGCCATCACGACTCGTGGCAGCTGAAGCTGGATCTAGGGGTTTTGTGATGTTTCCATCAGGAGTTACTATCACACGCTTGCAAAGTGAGTCTTCAAGAGCCTGCTCGTCACACCTGCATAGAAGCTTATTAAGAGATGATATATATAAAAAGTGAAAAGCTACCAGTCAGTATAGTAGGGCCAAGTTGATTAGGTTCAGACATGAGTAGCTCTGCAGCTGTTTGAAGATGGTAGCATGCTTTCTCATCTTTCAGTTTTGAAGAATCTGTTTCATTCCCTTTCACAAATTCTATGTTTCCAAGATGGAGTATTGCAGCTACCACACGGAATATAGCATCCTAAAAGAGGAAAACACACTGTTAGTTTGGATCTATGTTACATGGACTTGGGTATAAGTGTAGGGTACAGGTGTGCATTTAGAGCTCGATGAATTTCAAATTTAAGAATATGCTAACTCAGCAAAGAAGGGTCATAATTTTATATTTTTAATTTATTAAGTGAGATAAAATGGTGTCATGTGTAACATACAATATCAAAAAACATTTTATTCCTTTTAAGCAATTATACAACAATATATACATATAATGATAGTGTTAAATATAAATATATAAAAAATATCTAATGGAAAGTATCGGACACATATCTTGCACCCTTGTCCAAGTGTCAGGTATTTGATATGGTATGGGTATTTGATTTATTTTGAAGAGTCTATGTAACATAGGTTTTTTTATTTATTGAATGTCTCCTTTCAGTTTTGTTTCTCAGTTTTTGCACTGATGCACAGGCGCACACCTGCTCATCCTGGCTGATTCCTACAACATCCATGGCATTTCTGGTCTCCAGATATTCCCTTGCATCATCCACATTTGCTACTTCATAGCAATTTGTTTGGTTTAGATAATGGAATGTCCTTGGGTCTCCTAGTTTGAATTTCTTGACATCCTGTGATAAAATAATACTGTCAGCTCACTTTATATATGGTTACTTATTCATTTATTTTTATTTATTTTTTTATTTTTTATGCTATGTCACCTCACAGGTGATCAGATTTGATTATATGAGCTCACCTCGGGTGGTGCTGCACAGAGCATGTAGAAACAGTGGTAGTTCCTTTCTGGGTCTGAGATTTGGCAAACTCTTGATCTTTCAAGAAGATATGTCCGAACTGCAGCTCCAGAGATCTTCCCATACTTATCGAATTGGATCTCTACAAATTTACCAAAACGACTGGTACAGCCACTCAATCATGTAAATTTTCCTGTAAGTCAAGCTATAGTAGTAGAATTGGAAATAGGACAAATTTGAAGAACAAAGCATTTAACTAGTTCACCTGGAATTGTTGTTTTTCACAGTTTTGGCATTCCCAAATGCTTCCAAGACTGGGTTGGACTGGAAAGTGAAAGCATAAATTATCACAAAATTTATACTATCACCCAATATATATGAAGTAATAGTGACTTTTACTCACCTCCAAAACTTGTTGTTCAACTGTTCTTCCTTCGGTATTAGATCTGCCCCCCATGAATGCAAGATATCTCATAAGCATTTTTGTTGTCTCTGTTTTACCAGCTCCACTCTCTCCACTTACCAAGATTGATTGACTTCCGTGTTCATTTATCATTGCCCTGATATTGAATTATTGAATAAACTCTTCGTTGTCTGATTATGGGACTAATTGGTGCAGCTAATATGAATTGCTTATAGCTTTTATTTATTTTATCTATTTTGGGAGTCTATGTCAGACTATTTGGTGTAGTTTTTACTTATAGCTTATTAGGTAGAAGTAGCTTAAATTAGTTGAAAATGTTGATTATCTAGAAGTAGGGAGAAGGGTGCTTTTGGCTTCTGCTTTCTAATCATCACCTTTCAACTTACATAAAGCTTTGCCAAACAGGCCCTATGAAGGTCATTTGAGATCATTTGGTTTCACCCAATTTAGATATACCTGTAACAGGCGTCTGCAACTGCAAAAAGATGTGGATTTAGCTCACCGAAAGCAGCTCCTTTATACTGTTCCATCATATGGATGTCGTACAAGTGCGGCAGTCTCCGGAAAGGATTCACCGCTATTAGAATATTCCCGGTGTAAGTCTGCTTATTTCAGGACCGACTATTAGTTCCTAGTTGTTTTGTAAATACATTCCCTTCAATGAATTACTAAATAGTTTTACTGAAAATTCAGTGTTCGCTAGGCTACAAATGACTCACATATATCTCATTGAGAGCAAACCGAGAGGCAAGGTTGTAAAGGACTCCTGGCTCATGGAGGTATGCCAACTTGGTCATGTCATCAACCCCTGCTGGTGGTGCTTCTGAGTCTTTTGGGTATATGCTTGAGATATCTGCAACTATCTGCAAATGGTAAAGAGAGTCTAGCTTAGTTTAGATACTACCTTTTCTGCATGTTCATTAGAGTTTATTATTGTTTGATATTTATGAATCCTTTCACATTGGAGATATTCTTTCTTCTTCAGAAAAGAACAGGGTAACTAACATAGGGCACATAGGCACTCAAATCCATGTTATAATTTTGATTATCACACCTAAATTTAAAAGGAAAGGATCTCCTTTGTCTCACTGGCTAAAACAAGGCTGCTACCATCATCGGCTATAGTTCTAATGTTTTTGGGTTTTGTTTTTGCAAGAAATTTGAAAAACTGTTAATGAAAACAAGTTTGATAACTGGTTTCAATTCCAAAAAATGTAAACAGTTCTCAAAATTTACATCACTTTAAGATTTTTTTTTATTTTTATTTTTGTGTGCGTGTGTGTTTTCACCTATTTTGAAGACAAGTTTTATTCCCTCCTCCCTCTGGCCACCACCTCTGGTAACCCCCCTCTGCCCCACCACATCCAGCCACCTCCTCCCGCCAGCCACCCCAACCTTCTGGCCACCACCTCTGGCAACCTCCCACCCTTCAGGCCTCCCCTGTGAGAACTCATCAAACTTGTTTTCTTGTTTTTATTTTTGTATGTTTTGGAAACAAACGTGTACCAAACATGTTTTTGTTTTTGTTTTCAACAAAAATAAACATAAATATGTTACCTATTTTCATTAAACAAAAGCAAAAAATTGTGAATGTTGCCAAGCACTCTGTGATTCTGTCCAACCAGTTTGCAGAGGAAGGGAGGCAAGAACCCATTAGTGTCATTGAATTTTCTTCCATATACTGGCAGTTGCAACTTATTGGTGCTTTTCAGTTTTATGTTACAATTGGTGTTTTCTGTAAAACATGTACGTCTTGTCTTAATAATAAACCCAATATATAATCACCAATGACAGTTTACTGGAACATATAGCCTCTGATGTTGACTGATGAAAATGTTAGAAAAAGCCTTCAGTAGAGCTAATAAATATCTCTTATATTGGTAAATATTTTTTATCCACTTTCCACCTTTTCAGGCTGTTATATGTTTATGTTATACACACTGCCTAAAACAACAAAGATTTATCTGTGGTTTCAAATATATGCTGTACTGATTCCTGTAATATTAACAGATCTAACGGTCCTAGTTGTTTGATCATGTACATATATAGCTGCTCTCCAATATAATGGGAGGCAAGATTAGCTTACAGTTTTCCCATTTGTGGTAACTATGGTGGCATCGCTGCCTTTGATTTCTATCACTTCTCCGTCGATCCACGCAACTTCAGGATCCTCAGCCCACACTTGTGATCCAACTATGATGTTTACAGGAGTTCCCTGGATCATTCAAGAATCACAAAAGGTTAGTTTTCTTGCAGATAAAAGATTGACCCAAGTGAATTGAGATTGAAGAGATTAAAGCCCATGATCATCTAGAAAGCTTACCATAACTGTGATTCTATAGGATCATCAAATTCACAGCTGAGATGCAGAGAAGAAGCCAATGTGTTTTGGTTGTCCTCTGAGAGAGAGAGAGAGAGAGAGAGAGAGAGAGAATGGTATTGCTGTTGAGGAATGAAAAGTAGAGAGAATGTTGAAAAGGAATGTTTTTCAAAGCAAATGGAAAAGCAGAGAAAATGAAGATGGTGGTGGTGGTGGTGACTCTCAAAAGCAAAAGGCAGAGCAGCCACCCCTCATCACCTCCCTCCCACTCTCCCCCACATGCTGTCAACTTTTTTTTATTTTTGCTCATTCCACATAGGCTGCTGACTTGGCTCCACAACCAGCCTCAAGATGTAAAATTGTGTATCATTCTTTGAGTCGGCAAGTCTTGTGTGTCCATTATATGTTATTTTTTATTTTTATTTTTATTTTTATTTATTGTTTGTTATTTGCACCCAAGCAGAGCTGATCTTAGATTTAGTAGGTGTGGGGGAGTGGCTATAAAACAATGTGTCCTCCTTTGCATAGTTGTTGCCTTTACTCTCTTAAATCAATTGGGCTAATGATGGCTTGTTGTTATGCTTGTATAAATAAACAACAGTGTTAGGTGGATCTTTTTTTGGATGTGATTCACATTACATTAAATTTGAATCTATACTTTACATTTCAATTTTGATAATTGTTTTAGCTATTTTTCAGAGTTTGTAGCTTTTTGCTAATGGCTGTTGCCGTTACTCTCTTAAATCAATCGGGCTAATGATGGCTTGTTATTATGCTCGTATAAATAAACAACAATGTTAGGCGGATCTTTTTTTGAATGTGATTCACATTGCATTAAATTTGAATCTATACTTTACATTTCAATTTTGATAATTGTTTTATATATTTTTCATAGTTGTAGCTTTTTTGTAATGACAGTTGTGTGTCAATTTATTTACGGTCTCATTTGTCATCATTGTGTTGGTTTAAAGAACTTTACTATCTATGTTTGTTACTAATGTTGTACTTGATGCATTAGATGGTAAATAAGTTATAGTACAAAAATGTGATTGCTATAAAAATAAAATAACTATAATCAAGTCCTATTAAATGCTTATATGGCTACCTGTGCACATTTGGTGAACTTTCAAGTTTGAGTTTCATTTATTTATTGGAGTGTTTGACCTCAAAGGCATTTGCCAAATTGGATGCTTTTCCTTCCTCGTCTTTTTCAGCTCTAAGATTGAAAAAGATTATTGTAACATTTGTCGATTTTTATGTCAATTTCTTGAATTGGTTGCTTCCAAATAGTGTTCAATGACTTTGATCGCATGTAGTTTTAAAAGTTTGAAACAAGAGATAACTTTCTAATATCATCCGTTTTTAAGAAAAATCCGTGTATACAAAATTAAATCACAAATAAATTTTATTGTATTGATGTACATGTTCTTAATATTTTTTTAATAGTTTAATTATGTTTATGTTAATTCGTTAAAGAAACTTTGAACAACTATTTTTTCTTTCATCTCAAATGTTTTTTTCCTTTCTGCATCAATTTTCTTTTTCTCAATTTCCATTTTCACAAATAAATAACATTTTTCACATTTGCTGCCAACAAGGATAGAATTCTAAAGAGGGACAAATGGGTATATTCATTCAAAAGTCAATGGGATCAATGAGGTTCAACAGGTGATTCTGTTGTGGAAAAAAGATCAAAAAGGGCATGAAGCATCATCTTTAATGGCCCCACAACCCCACCCCCCCAATCTCCAAATTCTTCTCCAACCCACCAAACCTTTGGTGGGCCTCTGTTGGGTTTGAATTGAATTTCTTTTTTGCTTTTTAGTTAGGGGCGGTGGAGATGGTGAGTTTTGAATTGAAATCTTTTATAGAGGATGTCCTTCCTTTCACATGGGAAAAGGTCCTGTGTAGTGGGCCCTATAAAAGGCTTCTCCGATCTCTCATCCTTCCTTTCCAACCAAGTTTTCTTCATTCTTTTATATTTTTTAATTTTTTTTTAAATCAATTGTTGTATCAATATTAAATGGACTAATTATTAGTGTTCTTAATATTTTTTTAGATTATTTAATTTAATTAGGAGTAAAGATAATATGCACGTGGTCTTTGGGAGTGCAAGCAGTGCGATTCAGTGTGGTTTAAAAATAAAATTAAAATAAAATTATAGATGTTGGATTGACAAATTTGTTATTTATAATTAAACCATAATTTGGGCGATTTCAACTTATTAATTGATCGGAGAATAACTTTATATAATTATCAAGTATTTATATAATATATAACCTTAATTTGCAAAATACTTTATATATATATAACACAAACTAATTTTACATAATATTTTTCATATATATAATAGTAATTTGTGCCACATTCTACATCTCATATTTCTCTCACACTGATTTTTATTTTGATATTTCATTGAAAATAAAAAAAAAATACATGTATTAACTATGATGGGGCAGAATGGTTTCAAAAGTGGATTATAAATTTTAAATCATGGATCAAACGAACCCGGGATTAGCAGTCAGATCGGTGCAACGATTTTAGTAAATTAGGCGATATTTTACATAACTCCATGCAGACATCCTATTTTTTATCGGTCTTAAAACTTTGGCACCTTCAATATGATCCCATGATGATGAAACAAGGATGGATCTCAATTGTCTTCAAACAAAGCCTTTCAAATGGGGAGAATTCCCAACCTTAAATCCTTTTGTTGCCAAAATAATTTTTAAGCCTTTCAAATGTTTTCAAAAAATAATTTTCAAGGATACAAGATGTCATTTCAAGTATTTGACTTAGTCTACCTCGCATTTTTGCAATAACAAATCTTGTTTATTTCAAAATTGGGTGAAGATGAAGTCAAATTGAATGAAAAAATGGAAAACATTCAAGAAAACAATTAGTCACAGGTTTGTTGAACCACCTATAGGTTAAAACCCATAGATAAGCCAGCCTGTAGATCATACCCACGGGTGAAGAGCATACACGTGGTTACTCACGTGAGTTACGATCATACTTGTGGGTGATTGTGGTAAAAGGGTTTTTGGGAGTACTTTTTGATCCATGCAGACATCTTGATCCTCGGGTTGCTACCTGAAATGGCAATGAACACTCCAGTCCGAGGGTGCCGGAATTAGCACTTCGATGGAAAAATCAGTATTCTCTCAAGTTTTCTTATTTCTCAAGTTATCTTTTTTGTTTTCACATACATCATTTTGGCTGATGCTCCTCCTTTTTATATTGCTTTCCAGGGGCCCACTTTCCCATTATCACCTTTCACCATCACATCTGGGACCCCTAGATGTGCCAAAAAATTTATGGCATGCTTGGCCCACGGGATAGATTCTACTCAGCCTTGGCCTTGTTCAGATGGGTCTAGTCATGTTGAGTTATCCTCACCAGTCTTCTCGGCATCCTCTTTGAGCGGCTCACCTGAGCGGTCACTTTTATTCGGCCCCTACAATTGCTCCCCAAACATCCAAATAACGTATTTACTTGGTGTGTTTGGTTTCTCGGCTAACAGAATAGACAAAACCCTCGAAAGTCAGAAATACGGCGATTGCATTCCTTTTCATACTGATTCGTCAGAGCAGACGCGCTACTTGAATCATTACAACTTCCCGCCCCTTCGTATTTGACATTCATTTAATGCGATTTGAAATCTGTACCACCGTATACTCTTGAATTGAAAGGCTATTGACATCCTTTGAGCATCCTTCATATTAACCTCCTTCAAGACCTTTGCAATCCCGCTTCTCATTGTTCATCTTCTTCCTCAACCTATAAGTCCCTTTTCTCTTCTCATTCTATTCTTCATTCCAGTTCCCTGCGTGTTTTGCTTTTGTTTTTTGTACATGCTATTTTCTTTCCATCTCGAATGGCGAGGCATTTGAATCTCCTCTCTGAGGATCGAGTTGTAGCCTTCCATCGTCACTTTTCAATCCCAGACAACATCCACCTATCCCTTGTTGCAGACTGTGTGGTGGACATAGAGAGGGCTGATATGAATACGATTATTTTTCCTCTTTTGTCAATAGTTGAGGGTGGAGTCCAATTCCCCTTCTATCCTTTCTTGAGGTTGGTCCTACGTTATTGGGGACTAATTCCCTTCCAACCTAACGTGAACTTCTACCGAATAATCATGGGTATAGTAGAGTTGAATCACCGTCTAGGTCTTAACCTAGGGATCCCAGCTATTCGGCATTGCTACGTCATGGCGAAATCATCCAGTCGATAGGGCCGTTACTTTCTGAGCGCCAAGGACGTAGATCACCACTTGGTGACTATGTTCGCCAACTCTGGCAAAAGGGTTGACGATGTCATGGTCGTCGTCTAAGGCAATTGGAAATTCGGCGAGAGAGAAGATCACCAGGACCCAGTGCCTGGTTTTAAAGACTGGATTGTGATTGTTATTTTTATGCTGCGCAGGAAATGATTTAAAAAGAGCACTGACTTTGGTGGATGAAGTCTGTAATAACCCTCACCACTGATTACCGTTAAACATTGATTACTGATAACTGAACTGATCATGACTGATAATTGGACTGATTAAAAATACTGAACTAACTGACTGAAGTTGGAAACCGAATTGACTGAGTATATGTTAGTTAATTGCATTCTATCTGTTTGACTGTATGGTTATCTGTTCATGCTTATGTGTTTAAACTGCTAATTGAAGGCCTTATCGGCGGCCGAATCAGAAACCGATTAGTGTTCTATGATTGTCTGAATTAATGTGAATTTATAGTATAATTATCTGAAAACTGATTAGGTATCATTAAATTAGATTAAAATAAGCTAATTAAAGAGTTTGACGTAATTACACTTTTGCCATTGTTAGTGGGCCCTTATTATAACATGTTAGAGCCTTGGTATGCTTGAATCAAACATTTTGCTCAGCTCATTTCTTGCTTTTGCCGACTAGAGGGAGAGAGTTAAGGGAGAGAGTTAGATTTCACCTCTTTTGGCTTGGTTTTGCTTGGAAATTGAAGAAATTGTTAAGGAGATTGCATATTTGAGCTCCCTTCTTGAACTACAAGACTAAAGGTAGCTCCATTGTCTTCTTGTTCATGTTTTGAGTTGATTGTTGCATGGTCCAGGTTAGATTGTAGAAGCTAAGTCATGTTTTGGGTCATTAATGCACGCAACTTCCATTTTTAATTTTATTCAACTTCCATTTTTATTTAATTTACTTTCCTATTCAACTTTCTTTTTTATTTAACTTTCAAATAGATCGTTAAGGTATAGTGGTTTCTTAAACGAACTTCCATTTTTAATTTCACGCAACTTCCATTTTTAATTTTATTCAACTTCCATTTTTATTTAATTTACTTTCCTATTCAACTTTCTTTTTTATTTAACTTTCAAATAGATCGTTAAGGTATAGTGGTTTCTTAAACGAACTTCCATTTTTAATTTCACGCAACTTCCATTTTTAATTTTATTCAACTTCCATTTTTATTTAATTTACTTTCCTATTCAACTTTCTTTTTTATTTAACTTTCAAATAGATCGTTAAGGTATAGTGGTTTCTTAAACGAACTTCCATTTTTAATTTTACGCAACTTCCATTTTTAATT